TCCTCTTAATTATGGTCGATACAGAGTAGGATTTGATAAGTACAATCAAATTGTAGGCTTATCATGTAGCGCCATCATTCAGTACATATGTCAAGGACCAAGTTGCCGTGCTAGTCATAAAGAAAGATCGCAGAACTTGCTCGAGCTATACGTAAGAAGTATCTTACTTTAAAGTTAGGTCGAACTGCAGAAGATGAATCTATTAGAAAACTTTTCAAACCAATATCTTGAACCTCTTAAGCAAATAAGCTAAGACTCAGCAGCATCCTCATTTATTATTAAAAAAGAGGAAAAATTGAAACAGGATGATGATGATGATGATGATGTATTCACACAGAACCAAACTATCTCAATTTAGAAGACGTGGCTTCAACTGATGAACAAGGTAATATACCGCCGAGACCTGAAACACCACCACTACCTGAAGAAATGCGTCCTGCTGATTTTTTCACAAGAAGCAATAGAAGAATACTTAGATCAATATCCCCCAATAAGCCATAATTATTTACAAGATTTTTGGACACAAAACGATAAAATTGATAAAAATTATGGACCTATATATACCGACAACATTGGTTGGATGTTTAGGTAAACGCCGAATTAAATTTGATAGAGCGACTGGCCAAATACAGATATTACCTGAGGGGACAAACTTAGCAGGTACATGGTTTCGTGGCACACCTGGGCTGTATCAACTTTATTCTATAATGACCCAAACTATGCAGATGCAGATTTACAACCCTATAAAAATCTATTGCAAAGTACCGGTGTTCATTTAGATTCGCTTGGACGCCTAAAAGGTTCGACAGGATTTAAATATAATCACATTATTAAGCCTCTCTTTAAAGATGTGCAGAAAATAAAGGTACAATTGTCACACGATCAACATCTACAAAAATACGTAGTCCACTTAGTCGATCATTAACAAGATCCACTCCCTCAACAACAACAACAACAACAACAACAACAACATCATCAACATCAAAACCGCCAACAGGAAAAGGTATCGGTGATTACTTGACATACAACGAGGAACCAATCGAATACGTGTACTGGGATGATCCCAATGAATTAATCGATCGACTTAAACTCCTTATGGCATCTCAGGAAGCTGGCAATACGTCGCATGATAATGAAATAGTAGCCATCCTCAACGAGCTAAAAGAAGCTAATATAATACAGTAATCTAGTTCCTTGGTCTTTCATTTACACGATGAGTCTTGATAAATTCGGACGTCGCTTTGATAAACAAAAGACACTTCCGTATATGCGTGCACCGCCAAAGTTAACACTACCCCATACTTCTGATGGAAATGTTGACTTCAAGAACGTAAAGTTGTGTAATATAAAAGATCCACAGATAATTCAGATGCGGCAACTAAAAAATACGTAGATACTTCAGTGATTGATTTAAAAAAAATAACAGCAAAAACAGATCAAATAACAGAGTTTATTTCGAGAAATCCGCCTACTTCTGGTAAACATATGGCAACAAAAAAATATGTAGATGACTCTATTGCAAATATAACAACAAGAATAGAACAGGAGTTGGCTACAATTAAGTCTCATACCGATTTGACTCCAATACGGAAAAATATCATTGATTTATCCTCTGAATTACAACTTTTGCAAGGACGCACATCATATATATCATTGAAAACATTCGATCTTGCTAAGCGTATAAAGCCGATGGAACAACAATTTAAAGCGTTAAAACATGATGACGTACGCCAAGGAGAAGCTACAACTAGTTAACGAGCTGCACAAGCCTGCTCGAAAAAATTATCTAAGACGACGTACCATCATTAAAGGCTTAGACGATTTATGGCAGACGGACTTGGCTGAAATGCGACCTTATGCTCATCAAAATAAAAATTTCAAATTAATTCTCGTCGTAATCGATTCTTTTTCCAAGTTTATGTGGACTAGACCGTTAAAGACAAAGACGGGTGAGGAGATAACTCGTGCGTTTTCGGATATCCTCGCACATACGGAACGTACGCCGAAAAATCTACAATCTGATCAAGGTAAAGAATTTTACAATAGTAAATTTCAAACTTTAATGAAGAAGCATGATATTAATCATTATAGTACATATAGCATCAAGAAAGCGGCCATTGCTGAAAGAGCCATAAGGACGTTGAAAAATAAACTTTACAAATACTTTAGCTTAATGGGATCGTATAAATGGATTGATATATTACAAAGCATTACCAATGAATACAATGGAACACGTCATCAAACCATCGGATGTAAACCATCACAAATTAATAAATCCAACGAAAAATGTATCTTAAATCGAAAATATACTCATTTAAAAATCGCGGGCCCGCGTAAGTTTAAAGTTGGTGACATTGTACGCATCAGCAAAACCAAAATGCTATTCGACAAGGGATACGTTCCAAGCTGGACAACGGAATTATTTAAAGTTACTAAAATTAATATTACCAACCCTGCAACGTACATGCTCGAAGATATGCAAGGTGCACCGATCAAAGGAGCCTTTTATGACGAAGAATTACAGAAAACAGCCAATCCAGATGTTTATTTAGTTGAAAAAGTTTTACGTCGTAAAGGTAAAAAAATGTACGTCAAATGGCTTGGCCTTGATGCAAAACATAATAGTTGGATTGACAATGATGCGATCGTCTAGGTGTATGGGGTGGGGGGGTTTCTGCTAAAAGTGAGTTCTCAGTCGGTTGCAGTCAGTCAGTCAGTCAGTCAGGCAGCTAGTAAAAAAAAAAATGGAT